CCTCCCACCTTCAATCATTCTCAGCATCAGGGTCTTTTCAAATGAGTCAGTTCTTCACATCAGGTGGCCCAAGTATTAGAGTTTCAGCTTCAGCATCAGACCTTCCAATGAATATTCAGAATTGATTTCCTTTAGAATGGACGGGTTGGATCTCCTTGCTGTCTAAGGGACTCTCAAGAGTCTTCTCCAAGCATCAATTCTTTGACGTTCAGCTTTCTTTATAGTCCAACTCTCACAACCATACATGACTACTAGACAAACCATAGCTTTCACTAGATGGACCTTTGTTGGCAAAGTAATGTCTCTGCTTTTTAAGATGCTGTCTAGGTTGGTCATAACTTTTCTTCCATAACATTTCTTTTAACTTCTTGGCTGCAGTCACCATCTGCAGTAATTCTGGAGCCCCCCAAAATTAATTCTGTTTCCACTGTTTCCCCTTCTATTTCCCATGAAGTGATGGGACCAGATGCCATAATCTTAGTTTTCTGAATGTTGAGTCTTAAGCCAGCTTTTTCACTCTCCTCTTTCAATTTCATTAAGAGGCTCTTTAGTTCTTCTTCACTTTCTGCCATAAGGGTGGCGTCATCTGCATATCTGAGGTTATTGATATTTCTCCCGACAATCCTGATTCCAGCTTGTGCTTCCTCCAGCCCAGCATTTCTCATGATGTACTCTGCATATAAGTTAAATAAGCAGGGTGACAATATACAGCCTTGATGTACTCCTTTCTTATTTGGAACCAGTCTGTTGTTCCATGTCCACTTCTAAGTGTTGCTTCTTGACCTGCATACAGGTTTCTCAGGAGGCAGGTCAGGTGGGCTAGTATTCCTATCTCTTTAGGAATTTTCCAGTTTATTGCGATCCACACAAAGACTTTAGCATAGTCAATGAAGCAGATTTTTTTTTTTTAATTCTCTTGCTTTTTCTATGATCCAACAGATGTTGGCTATTTGATCTCTGGTTCCTCTGCTCTTTCTAAATCCAGGTTGAACATTCTGTTCAACATACTATTCATGGTTCACATACTGTTAAAGCCTGGCTTGGAGAATTTTGAGCGTTACTTTGCTAGCATGTGAGATGAGTGCAATTGTGCGGTAGTTTGAGCAAATAAAGGATGACTACACCCTAATGTCATCCTCTCCCAGTCTTTCTATCTAGTTTCCACTTCTGACTTTCCCAAGTCCATTAACTGTGCCATTGTTCTTCTGGTCATAGATTTAAACCTTAGGGCCCTGCTTTCTCTCATCTCTTTTTCTAGCTCTGTTCCTATTCAATTTTACCTCTATCTGGCAAATTTGCCTGGGTTTTAGATTCTACCTAACACTGTAAATTCTGGCTACTAACTTAATTGTCCCACTCAGTTCTTTTCATTCATAACATGCTGCTACAAAGACACTGCTTTCTCCAGGAGAGCCTACTGATCAACTGGGGTTCTGGCTTTCAGTTTCTGCCTCTGTTATGATCCCAGTACCAACTCCCAAATATGTAACAGATCTGACAACTTGCTTCTAGTCCTTTACAGATTTCCTCCTTCTTCCTTCTTTTCAAAGATTCAAAGCTTAGTTATTTCCATGTTCAGCTTGGAAATCCTCCTTTTATAGAATGTCCCTGCTAATTTATATCTGTAAATGTACTATAATTATAGTAGTCAATATTGAGTAAGTTTTTTTTTAAAAGGATATGCCATATTCAAAATTCTGTGATAAACCACAATGGAAAAGAATATGAAAAAGTACATATATATGGTAAAAATTAACACAATATTCTAAATCAACTATACTTCAAAAAACAAAATACAAGGTATGAAAATGAATGTGGGCTGAGCTACAACATGCACAACTTAAAGAACACATGCTTTAGTCCCTCAGCATAAAGAGCACAAAGCCTGGTTTGTATCTGGTTGTCTTTATGGATAATACGATCGCCAAATTTCTGTATGTTGTTGTCAAATATCACAGCCAAGACAGCAAATTATGACGATGAAATGAGGGGACTGACAGAAAACATCACCCTCCACATTTGCAGGCTAGATACATTTGTGGCCCAGTATCCGCTTCAAGTTCATCTTCAGTTCCCCATGATAGGGGTGGACATTCTTAAGTGTTAGTCACTCAGTCGTGTCCAACTGTTTGTGACCCCATGTACTGTAGCCCACTCCTCAGGATCCTCTGTCCACGGGATTTTCCAGGCAAGAATACTGGAGTGGGTTGCCGTTAGGTATGAACATTTCCAAAAGCCAGGCTGGTGATTTTGTGAGATGCCCCAAAAGCTTCTGCTACTAATATAGAAGCAGATTTTCTTAGGGAAAACAATGGTTTACATTATATATACATATATATTAGCTTGCACTGTTAATTTTACTTTTTATTTCCCCAGTTATCTAGTAACTGACATCACTTCTTATAGGTCTAAGCACACTCCTTAATGTCTAAAGCTCAATGGCTTACACATAGTACTTATAATATCACTTAAATAATTAAAAAAACCACAAGCATGTACCTTGGTAATGTTTTAATTTAAAAGATACAAATCTAAAAAAGAAAAAGAAAAAAATGCAAATCCAATAGTCTAACAGACTTAAGACATTTCAAACCCTGAATTGCTCATGGAGACCTGCTCTCCTTTAAGAACACATGAAGAGCTGACTTCTAGAATCTGATTATTTTGACCCTGGAAACAGTTTGAGATCAATATTTTAATTAGAGTTATAAATACACTGATGAACACACTAATTACCTGATGAATTTTCATTGCAGTCTTGCCAATCATTTCAATCATTATCCTTTCATTGAAATTATTTTTATTGGGATCAATTATGTCACATTTACATTTGAATAACTTTTAATTCAATTGTATGTTTTAAGGTCCATATTAAACTTTGCCAACTGGAACCCCTGCTATTTTCATTTTTCCTTTGTGATCATTATTTCTGTCAAGTCCATATGGTGTACGTCTAAGTCTGTGAGGTAGAGAATCTCAAGGAGGTAGAGGGTAAGAGAAGAAAGAGACACAAAGAAAGAAGCAAGCAGAGGAAAATGGACTGCAGCTGCTCTGGAGGTTAGACTTCAAAAGAATACAGTGCTACACAGTTAGTGTCAAAATATCCCTGGACTTTATCTTAAGAAGAAGGTCTCTAAGGAATTATAGCACCAGCATGGTGAATGGACAAATTAAACTGTCCCCAAAATGATACTCCTGAAGTCTGCTTGATCATTGTAACGTGAATTTGTTGACGATGTGGATGGGACTTTTACACAGTTTTCACATCAAACTATCTGTTTCTGCTTCTCCATTACAGTGCTCCTCAAAGTGTAGTTTACAGACCCTGGGCAAGGTCCGTGATGTAAGAACTATTTTTAAAGTAGTAATAATAGTAATAATACTTCTCTGTTGGCATCTGCCCTGATGAAGCAACTGTGGATAAAACTGCTGGCATGTTAGTAAGGATCAAGCAGCACTGATGTGTACTAGTATTCATTTTATTTTTTACCACCTCACATTCACAACGAAAAGTTTTCACTTTCAAGTAAGAATGTCCTTAATGAAAAAAAAAATAGTAATTTAACTTTCAACCCTTGAGTACACATCTTTCTAATATTCTTTGTGATCACATGGGCAGTATAAAAAAAGCACTCGGCTGTATACCTAACTATGATGAAAAGCACATTATAACTGTTTGAGTAGCAAGCTAAAATCCCCACTCTTCCATGGAATACTATTTTTTTCTTGGAAGAACAAAGAACATACTACGCTTGTTCAGTCTTAGATATCTGGTAGACATTGTCCCCAAAATGGGTGAATTAAGTAACAACTTAAGTAACAACTGCAGTAACAACTGCAAGGAAAAGTTTACCATCCTGTGGATACTGAGAAAAATTAGTATTTTCAAATGAAAATTAGAATTCTGGAAAATTTGCATCTACCACCTTGACAAATTCTCAGTACTTAGAAGCTTTTCTCATAATGGTGTGATGTTAACAGATGTGAATTTTTTGATACTGTATGTTGAAATGTGCTAACCTTTGGAAGATCTGCACAATACAAAATTTTCCAAATGATCAATAAATCACACGTGTAAAATCCACTTACTGTCTAAGACAGACCAATGGATTTTAATATAACAGAGTATAAAAAGTTCATTGAAATAGTTTCAGATTCTTCATTAAAACTAATCTTTAATAAAGAAATTATTACTTATAGGTTTTAGTGTAGTAACAAGGGTTAATGTTCAGAATTATACAAAATGATTATTAAAAACTGCTCACTTTTCCAGATATGTGACTCTATAAGGCCAGATTTTATTCATATACTTCTACCAAAACAACATATTGCAAAAAGTTCTGATGTAGAAGCAATTATTAAACTAAATATTAAAGGGATTTGTAAAACCATAAAGCAATGCTGCTATTATTACTAAACTTTAAAAGACAGAGTTATTCTTCATAACTATCTACTATATATATTTGCATATAAAATGTATAATATAAAAATTAAATTATTACTTAAAAATAAGTATTTAAAATTTTCCAAGTCATTACTTTTATTATCAAATTAATTTATTAATAAATTAAGTAAATTAATAAATATTGACAGATATACCCAAAATAAATAAACAGGTCTTTGGGTTTCTCAATTTTAATAAGTAAGGATGTCAGATGAAAAAGTTTGAGAACCTCTGCTGTCGCATGTTGAAAAATTCTTGGAGCAGCATTTCTTAGAGTGTTTTTCCCAGAGCATCAAACCCAAGATATGATTCATAGTAAAAGGGTTCCACTCTGAAATGTGTTTGGAAAAGTTGGAGCCTTATAACATATGCTGTTCTTAGAGAGTTGCAAACCAGATGAGAAGTTCAGAGAGGTACTGCTGGACTGCATCTGTGTCATCTTATGTAACCCAGTGCTTCTCTATGTTGTCTCAGGGAGTCTGTGAATGCAAAACATGCTGGCCACCTGATCTTGAAGAAGGAGGCACCGGCACTGTGGACATCTGTGGTAACTTACCTTCAAGCCGGACCACCAGTGGCACCTTGAGTTCCAGCTCCCGGCAGGCTTTGGTGATCCCGTTGGCAATGATGGCACAGTTGACAATTCCACCAAAAATATTGACTAGGATGGCTTCAACCTGAAATAAAAATAGGAAGGTGCTCATCAAAATGCTGACAGTCAACATTCCCTCAAGTAACTGGCTAAATAACAAAGATAATTAAAATAATGCTCTCTTTAAAAAAAAAACCACAATATAAAGACCAAGATGTTAAGAAAGTTAAAATTTAGTACTTAATTAATAAATATCACTAAATAACATTACCATATTAACCCAAATTATCTTATCAATCAGTTCTCCAAATTCAAAATGAATAAGCCACTTATTTCTTACATACTGTCTTCTGCTTTGTCTTATATTACTGTCTGGTACTGTTATTTTATAAGTAGTGTCATTTAAAATTTCATGTACTTACATCTTTTCTCTTTATGGTTTATACTTAATTTTTACCTGTCATGGTACCTCTTAAAATATTTCAAAACTAGTGACATTATTTGTTTTATGTTAATAGGTAAAAATTCAAATTTTTCTATGCCTCCTTAATACTTCTTTGATATGCCAGAAGTATATATTAATACTTAAAATTCAGAGGTAGCTTAATAATCTTAGATAATGACCTTTTTAATTAAAAAAATACCCTCCCAATAAAGAGATACAAGTTTACACTACAAGTAAAGATATAAGAAAAGTCATGCTACTGACTAGAAATTTTCTGAAATGTAAATTTAAACCCATCATGTTAACGTGTTTGTACATATTCCATATTCAAAGGCACGTGGGCCCAAAAAAAAAAAAAAAATTGTACTTGCCCTGACTTGATAAATAGGTTTAAGAAAAATCCTGTATAATTAACATGAAGAACGAGATAATGAAGAGAATTCATTACCTAGATTAATTGATAACACCCACAGATAATGGCTATTCGTCAAGCTGGAGGCATCAAAATTCCAACAATGGAGTGACAATTAAATTCTGCACACTAATTGCAATGCATATATGTGTGTGCTGCATGCCATTTAAAAATTCCATTTATTCCAATATGTTACATTAACTACACAAAACATATGAGAAAAGAACACCTTGCATTTGTTCAGCACTCAACTGCTTTAAAAGTGCCATTACATGAACTCTCATTTTTAATTTTGATACTCACAGTATGTACAGTAAGTACAGTGAGGATTAACCCTCTATACCAGATAAAGCCATTCAGAAAACCCACACAATGTGTCCCAGTGTTACATAGCTAACAAGCAGCAGAGGTGAGGCTCCAAGTCAGCTTCTAGATGGCCTGCAGATACCCCATTCATGCCAGATCCTAGAGCTAGAATCTTGGGTAAGGGACATACACTATCTTGAATACGGCTTTCTCACCTATGAAATGGGAATAATAATACCTAGCCCATAAAGTTATTGAAAGGCCTAAATGAGATAAGACACATGACATGCTTATTACATGCCTATAAGGTACTTTATGGGACTTCCCTGGTGGCTCAGTGGTAAAAAAAAAAAATCCACCTGTGGTACTAGAAACACAGAAGACCCAGGTTCAGTCCCTGGGTCAGGAAGATCCCCTGGAGGAGGGCACGACAACCCACTCCACTATTATTGCCTGGAGAATCCCATGGACAGAGGAGCCTGGTGGGCTACAGGCTATAGGATTGCAATGAGTTGGACATGAAGCAACTGGGCATACAAGGTACTTTATGAATATTTATACATGAATTTACTGACGTAAGCAATGGTGAAAGTGGACAGGTTACCTAGACAGCATGTATAAGAAGGAAACCTTTCAGCAGACTGCAGCTATGTTGAATCTGAATGTAATAGAAAAATGAACTTATTAAAGTTCAGCAAAAAGGTAATGTTTTAAGGATAAAATAAATGAGCAATATTTTTCAAACCAATTAAGAGATTGGGGCTACTCCCAAAAAAGAAATCTCCCATTACTATTCACAGCAGGCTGACTGGTAAGCAGAAGTTTGCTTTCTAATGATGGCTATTAAATGCTGTTAGTATTGAGGCTTGGTACAGCAGTAGTTTCCAAATAGCTGTGGGATAGGGAGAAGTTTGCCAGAACAATGGAAGAAAAATACACTTAAGAGCAATAATGACTCCACAGGGTCCAAGAGAGAAACTCAGGAACAGCTGAGGCTTACTCAGTTTCTGTAGAAGAACTAAGCTTTCTAGTAAAGTATACACTGGCCCATGTACATCTCTGCCATGATCCAACTTGTACATTCTTTAAGGATGAGTTCAGATGTCAACAAATTCTCAGTGGAGCTTTCCTGTGTCATCAAGTTACAGTGAATTATTCTGTTTAATCCATCTAAAACCATAAAGTCATTCTAGAGAGTAGTCACACCACATACCACGAACATACGTGAAGTCATCCACAGTGGCAGGAGTGGGAGACCAGAGGCAGGAAGATGCCTCTGGCCCTGTGATCCAGTTAGACTCAGTAGATGTATACCCTGGAGTCAGTATCAGATAAGAGCTGGTACTGCCTTATACACTATAAGTACCTATGAATCTTTCACGTCAGTCTTTCATTGTGTTTAATCAGCACCTGACAAATAAAAACATACTCTTCATACAACAACTTGTACCTAAAAGTAAGTCAACCACTTCAACCAGTACTGAACGCTCAGAAAAGTCCTCTTTTCGAAAGGTGGGGGAATAGGCGACTTTGTTAGGTGTGCTGAAAGAAGAACAGCTGTTCTCCAGTGCAGTATATTCACCCCACATCTCCATGCCCTAGGCACAACACTCAGGGCAGGCCGCCTCTGTACTCCTCTACAACAGGAGTTTTTTGTTTGTTTGTTTGTTTGCTTGTTTTAATAAGGAGCTAATGCAATCCATGACATAGTGCAATCACCTAATAAATAATAGTTTAAAGACTGGAACAAATTAATTTCAATAGACACTTAATGGTCATCTCCCTTATATTAGACACAACGGAGTTAAGTCCTTGGGATATGGAGATGAGTAAGGTGTCATCACTGTACTCAAAGAACAAAGACGAGTTTTAGAGTCAGACTAGTAAACTGTCAACTGCAGTCCTGGCTCCATAGCCTCATAGAGCTAAGAGAACACCACAAGTGGTGCAGACTACTGTAGCAAGAAGGGCCTTTTGGAAGATGTGATGCTCCAGGTGACAAAGAGGAAGAGAGAGCAGGAACTCAGGTAATAGAGGGCAGCCAGGATGAAGGCAGAGCTGTTACCCAACTTGGTTCACTCAGGACCTACAGGTTGAATGGGGAAATAACCTGAGAAAATGCAGGTGAGGTAAACTGGAAGTCACCAGCGGCCAGGGATGGGAACTTGGTTCTTTTGGCTTATTCCTTTCTTTCCCAGAGCTGGGTGAAGACAAGCCTTGTAAGTCTCCCTTGGGGTGGAAAGGGCAGTGATGGGAAAGAGTGAGTACGTGAGCAAATGTGAGATGAAAAATATAGAGCAACCATGTGAGAGCATGAGAGCCACTAAGAAAGACCACCAGTGAGAGAGAGAGCATGACAGAATGTGTATATGAGAGAAAGAGAAGGAGAGAAAGAGTATGAGTGATACTAACAAAGCAGTTAAGATGTTTACAAGAAGAACAGCAAGACACAGAAGTGAACAGGCCGCTTAGCTCAGGGACATGGGGTTGTTGGGGAAACATGGTGTACCACGGGCACCACGATGAAATCACCACAAGGGTGATGGAAAGACCCCACGCCACCAGAGATGATGTGGTTATCTCCTCCTACAAACTAATTTTCTGTAGTTAAGCACTTTAATGGAAATCTGATTTAAGCTTTCACTTTGGGCTAATTTCTATAATTAACTACTATAATCTGCAATCTCAAACTGAGAATGAAATTAAGACAGTTTGAAAATGAAAGCCTTGTGACATCACCATTATTATTATTTGGCATTTATAAAGCATGTCAAATATGCAATGTGTGCCTCATGTGATCATTTATTATTATAACCCCTAACTGCTGCTCCATGACAATACCAACACAAACTTAATAAGTCTTTTTTCTCCTCTGGCAAAGGGAATGTTTTTAAAAGTTGGCACCGGGCCTATTCATGAATTCGAAACTCTCCCAAAGATTCCTAAGTGCTTTCAGGAGTAGGCTTTTCTAAATTCTCGGGTGAGGATTACAAGGGTTGCTATTTACTGTTTCACAAAAGTAAAGATCATCTAGCGAGGAGGTTATGGTGTCAGATCCACTGCACAGGTCCCTGGACCACGGACAGCCACTGCCAAGGAGGCAGCTGTTGGCTGCTCTGCAGGTGGCCGGGCAGTGCAACTGCAGGTTTTTCAAATGTTTGTGTGTGTTTGGCTTTGCAAAATACACTCCAGCTGCAGATTTTAATCCACAATTAAAGGTAAAGAATGAACTTCAAAAGAAGAAAAGCTATAGCTTTGGTATTTAACACGTTCTTCTCAACCGGAAAACAAACAAAAATCACAACTAAAACCCTTTTGAGGGGATGTAATCATTTTGAGAATTGAACACTGGGGCTTCGCTGGTGGCTCAGTGGTGAAGAACCCGCCTGCCAACATAGGATATGCAGGTTCAATCCCTGGGTCAGGAAGATCCCCTGGAGAAGGAAATGGCAACCCAGTGCAGTATTTTTGCCTGGGAAATCCCATAGACAGAGAAGCCTGGTGGGCTACCATCCATGGGGTTGCGGAAGGGTGGGACACAACTTGGCAACTAAATAACAATGAACACTAGGGAACCTCAGTCAGATAAGTTCACACACAGAGAAATTCTTTGACATGATTTTAGGTAAGTCCTATCCTTTAGAATTTGGCCTCCAAGGCAGATAACAGCAAAAGGTATGTACAGTATATACAGATCAGCTCAGTTCAGTTGCTCAGTCTTGTCTGACTCTTTGTGACCCCATGCACTACAGCACGCCAGGCTTCCCTGTCCATCAGCAAATCCCACAGCTTGCTCAAACTCATGTCCATCGAGTCGAGGAGTCGGTGATGCCATCCAACCATCTCATCCTCTGTCGTCCCCTTCTTCTCCTGCCTTCAATCTTTCCTAGCATCAGGGTCTTTTCCAATGAGTCAGTTCTTC